AAAAGTGACAATGTCAGTGTAACCTTTATTTTGAAATTCCATCTCAAATAAAGTACGAAAAAGATAAAAACGAGAATTTAAGAAAATTTGTTTTATTTTTCGTGTATCTCCGGAAATACCTTTCAAGTTACATTTTCTTAGTTACCTAAATAACCAGGTGCGGGGCGAGTCGAGTTTGAAACATCCGGAACATGACGTGGGTCCAAAGCGGACAACTCCCTGTACATTCACCTCTCCAATGCCGAGTGAATAATAAAATTTTCCAAGCGACAATGGAGCTTTCTGGCGATATATTTGTCGGAGTATCGACATATCAGAAGGTTCAGTAGCAAATAACACCCTATATGTTTATCTTCTCTCAAATATCGAGTCAAAAATACATTTTCAAGGCGGTATTGAACGATTCAGATATTTCCGACGATACGAGGTTTGTTCAAAAAGGATCGCGAATTTCATTTGTTTTTCAAGAATTATTTATTTATTCATGAATATATTTTTTGTTCGCTTCAAAGTAATCCCCATCAGCAGCCGATGTCCAAATATCTGATATGAAACATGATGGAGTGATCAGGCTGTTCGGACAACAGATTAGGAATATGTTATTTTAATAATTACTGTAGCAGTGTATTAGCTTCTATATAACAGAAATGAAAACAAACATCTTTTCTCAAAAACATCTGATTTCATTGATAATAAGGAGAGTAAATTTCCCCGATAAGGGGTATTTCTACTATAGGATTTACCTTTATACAGCTTTGGTCTTTTACAAATAAACAATTATTCCTAGTAACATATACACCAACTTCACAACATAACAAAAGATACGACGTGCATCAGCACCTAACCCAAGCGCCGCGCACTGTGTTGGTAAATCGAGCTGTTTGTTTGTAAACCAGACTTGAAGAAAATGCAATTGGCAAATTACTATAGCAATAATGAACTTGTTGATTTGATGTTATTATACGGTGAATTTCTTCAAAATGCTACTGATGCTTTTCGATGCTATTCACATCATTTTCCTGTATGTTTCCATCCCGTCTGCGTAAAGCTGTTAATCTGTTATCGTACAGAAACCTTCTGTACAGGCATACACTTGTGATAACGCTTTTTCCAGTCCTCGAAGCATTTTGAAAAATCATTTTTGTGATTTTGTTCAGCTCCTCCTTCTATGCCGTCTTTATCTCCTGAATCGTGGCGTAGCGTCGTCCTTTCATGGGCCTCTACAGTTCTGGGAACAAGAAAAAGTCACAGGGGGCCAGGTCTGGGGAATACGGTGGGTGAGGCATTATTGGAGTGGTGTTTTTGGCCAAAAATTCGTTCACAAGTAACGATGCAAATATCACTGATTTTATGCACATGCAGACCAATACATATAATCGTCCAGATGCGATCTTGCCATTCAACTAACTTTCTTCTCAGAGATAAAAACTACAGACCCGGATCACTCAGCCTCACAAAACTATGCAACCAATAATGCGTAGCTCAGTTGAGTGATTCCTCCATAGATGGACGTTCACAACGATCCTAGTGAGCAATCGTGGAATGACTGTTTGCGCCCTAAAAACTACCTAGTCTGTCATTTGACATCTTATAGGTTTTTTTGACGTTTTATAGGTTTTTTACATGATACCCGTGTGGAACGCTTTTCGTCGCTCACATCTTCTCGGCCGTCTGAGGACATTTTGTATTACCTATAGACGTTGCATTTGTCCAAACTAGCTTCGCCGTAGGCAACAGTCAACATTTGGAATATGTCCGCGCACTCCAAGTTGTTTTTTACACAAAATTTAATAGAAATTCTTTGATCCATTTTTCGAATAGACAAAAATCGGAGACAAGCTAAAACACGTCCACGCACAAATCTGTCAAAAACTGACATTCAAAATGGCCGATATTGTCAAAATTAGTGAGGGTCATGAGTACCAACATAACGCCACAAAAAGATCGAAAATCGAACTTACGTAGCCCGCGAAAATTCAAAATTCGCGATACTTTTTGAACAAACCTCGTATATCTATCAGAATATCGGAAAGTTCAGTAGCGGCGTATTTATGACGAGTTCAAAGACGGACGTCGCAAAGTTTTCGATGTTGGGGCCAAAAACGGAGGCGCTGTAAGGTGTCGATCGGCACGTTGCCAAATTGCAACAAGTCGTTATTATTAACAAGTAGTCCGTCCGGATATTTTAAAGTTCACAAGGATAGACGCCAGTCGCTCACAACAGAATTATTGAACCCATTTCGCGTTAGTCATTCGCAAAACATTCGTGACCGGTTTGAGAGTTTCCATTGTTTGTGATCGGACAATGAATCAAGTGAAGTTGGAGTTGCTTAGTAAGTAGATTATGGTAGTCCATGGATCGTATACTAGTTATTTGAAAAGAATAATAATTTAAATTGAAATTGTTTGTATCAAAATGTACAGCAAAAAACTGAGAGGTTAGAGCAATAAGCTTTTTTAAAAATATTGCAAAGGATACAAATTATCTAACCAAAAACAAAGGACTATTGTAGGCATGTCCGCAATAACGGAACAGGAGCGGAAATAGACGGATTGGTAACCTGGGCTTGAAGTACCACGGAAGGTAGCTATAGTATAGCTGACCTCCGTGGCGAATAGACACGAGGTCTTGTGACCCACAAACGTGCCTGCTGCCTCTTGTTAGTAGCTTCTAGTTGTATTTCCCTTTCCATCGTTGTTTTCGTTCAGGTTACACCCGTAACCAGATGTGAGGACGCATATGTTTGCACTTCGGTGTTTTCGATGAACATTCATCCAAGATATAATATATAATAGATAGTGTATAATATAATTAATTACTTATACAGGGTGGCCCATCCATGCGTGGACGGAATAGTACTCATAAACAAGTATATTTTGGGAAAATATATTTATGGCATGTTATTCATGTCATTTGACTTCACATTTCTAAAATATTGGCAATTATACAGGGTGTTCCAATTTTGACCTACATTTCAAAGTTGTGATTTTTTAAAAGGAATGCCTCAAATTTTATTGCATATTTGGTTGAACCAATTCAAAAAAAGAAGACTGATACAACATACTATGGGGTTTTGGTAATTAGCCTCTGAGATGTCAGGTGTTTTGTCCATAAAAACCATCCACTTCGGCAACCCGTCAATCCGCTATTTGTACCAAAAAAAAGCTTACACACTCTTATATTATTTGTTACTTTTTCGAATTTTCATTTTTGCCAATACAGGGTGGTCAAAAACGCTAATTTTACTTTCTCTCAAAAATTTCAAATGCATCACCCTGTATATTTGTGCAAGTTTGGATTCAATTTTTTATCAGCTTTTTTGGTATAAGGTTTGATTCATATAAAATCACTAGATTTTTAGTTATTAAACTTTTAATAGAACAACACACCAAAATTAAGCAAAAAAAATCACATCATCCATGGAAACAAAAGACAAACAGTGGGCTAGTTCCATATTGCCACTAAGAGTACAGATTTGACGTAAAAACTAGTAACAATCAAAACAGTATAAATCAGCTTCAAGCGTAATAGAGAAAAACAACTGTAACAACAACATAAACAAACAACTATCACTACTCAAGACCTAATCTACAAAAACAGCTCGAAAATATCTCCACCATGTTGAATACACGTAGTCTTTGGATAAATCTTCGTATTTTCCGGGGTAGATGGTGGCTATCTATAAGCCTCTTGTAGCCCCATAGAAAGAAGTCCATCGGTGTCATATCTGGTGATCTAGGAGGCCAAGATATAGGCCCATCACGGCCGATCCAACGATTGTTGCTCCAGGTGTCCAAAACGAACACCATATTCACCATTTCTTCTTTAAAAAAATTCATTTTGAAACACGTTTTTATTATAATGCTCACAAAGCTAATTTTGACAGTTTGTAACTAATCAACAATTTACTTGTTTCCAAGGATGATGCGATATTTTAGGGAATTAAGCCGACCCATAAAAGACGTGCTAATAACCGAAAAAATAGAAGTAAAAACCCTTGCGTCTAGTATCAAAAAAGCTGATAAAAAATTGAATCCAAACTTGCACAAATATACAGGGTGATGCACTTGAAATTTTTGAGACAAACTACAATTTGCGTTTTTGACCACACTGTATGAGCAAAAATTAAAATTCGAATAAGTAACAAATAAGATAAAAGCTGTCATTTGTTCTGAATTGAACGGGGAAGTCAAACATAATTTTTATTTGGCAAAAAACTATTGGAGTACCATTTCTTTCTTAAAACATATTGAAGTCAATACCCGTACGCACGCTACTGTTAAAGCTAAAAATTATTTTTGCATTGGAAAATATGCAACTTTATTAACTTTCACTACGTACTAAATATCAGTGAAATATCTGAAGCGGTTCTGAAAATATTAATTAATTTCCATTTTTTCCCTAAAACTTCAACACCCCGAGTTTTTGCAAGGTAACATTTTTGGACCATAGTTTATGAAGCAAACTAACATTAATTTTTCATGTAGATTCATAACCTTAAATATTCGCATATCATTCAGGAACACCCTGTATATTGTTGTTGATATTTTTCGAGTTTTAGTGTTGACTGTTGAACAATTTTGAAGCTTGGCGAGATTCACTTTTGATTTATGTTAGTAACGATACTAAAGGATACTCTTCGCATATTATTTGTTATCTGCCGTGCCTTACGTTTTATAATACTTAATTACGATAATGTCGAAACCCCGGAAATGGCTGCACCGATTTTTATGGTATTTTGAGAAACTCGACTTTTGTAAATCGGTGCAGAGGCGGCGAAGCTATGAGCAAAAAACAAAGAAAGCTGGATGTCGCTCCTAAACATGTTTCACCATTTTTGACAAAATAAAAAAATATTTTGGAGAGGTCAAAAAATCGGAAAGTTTTCAACATCTGATTTCCACTGTTTTCAAGTTTCTAATCATTTAAGATAGTAGTCAAACGACGCTTTTGAATGCGTGGGAGGTACCTGCCTGACTCAAGTTTTCTCTTGTTACAGGATTGAGTCCGGAACATAGGGTAAGCGTTGCTGAGCCAGAAATGCCCTCAGAGAGCAGCTCAGAATGTCCTGATGAGCTATACAACCTTACTAAGCTAGCCGAAGTAGCTGTAGCTACAGGAGAAATATTGGAGAGAAGACGGTTGGCAGCATCACCATCTGCTTTGGGAGCTGATGAACCTCCTTCTTTTACATACACTCACAAGCTGTTTGATAAATCATCAAGAACTCCCAGAGCACATGTCGTAAAGGTAAGAATTCAGGTTCAACCGAGGCAAAGAAAAATAGTGTATTTTTCGAGGATTGCGATGGGAAGACTTAGACGAAGGGTCAAATAACGCTTTGCGTATTGCCTTTTAGCTTAGAACTCCGTTAATCAACGTAAGTTTTCTTTTCGTTGCATGTCGGCTCCACTGCATATTTTATGGGAAATTGTGTTGGGAGAAAGTCATTTCCGCTTGATATTTTCGTATAAACACCTGTTCTCAAATAAGTTTTATTTATTTACTCATATGCAGTCTGACGCAGTATTTTTACGCTCTTAAAAATAGGTTGTTCCATAAACATTCATTAGATATATTGTATCATCCAACATACGAATTGTGTATGCTGGATGATACAAAATCCAGGCACTCCATCGTCAAAAAGATTTTTTGAGTCAAACCAACCAATAAGGGCAACAGTAAATTTTTTAGCGGTATCGTGAAAATACTGCTTCCTAGTGACATGTTCAAATGGAAACTATGATGATACTATGTCAGCATTTTACTTCTAAAAAAATTGTCATCAGCTTACAAGAAGGTCAAGGATGAAGGTACGTGTATAATGGCTAAACGAATAATCTAAGAGTATAAAACATTACTACCTTCTTGTAGAGAACTTATAAAATATATATTTTTGATTTTTCGACAGCTGGTTCTTGAAGTAAAGGGAAAAACTTAAAAATTCGTATCAAAACAATCAAGGGGCATACTCCGCACGCTATGTGCGTGGTTCACGTTATCAGCATACAACATTATGTCACGCGGGGATAACTCCACAAAAATTATACAGGGTGTCCGCAAAATTGGGGTTTTTCTTTACCCGATATGTAGATCTTGAGAAAATAAGCGGATTTTCTTAGTATCATATAGAAAAATGTCTTAAGAGAACCGAGATATTGGGCTCCGCAAACTCAATCAAACCTGAACCAAACCGAAGCCGACCCTGTCCTATCCCTCGATCACATCCACAACGCCAGCGTACAGTTATACGACGTACGACTACGATATAAATACGGATTTCACGACAGAGCCGTACTTGGAATTTCAATTCAACTGAACAGTGAGTATTTTTTCATTTATTTTTTTACTTGTTGGCTCACCACACATTAGCTTTGTTATATCAAGCGTAGTTGTGTCTGAAAAGGAAAACTCCAACTTTGCGGTATATAATCAAGAATACAATTTTAAAGGAAATCCATCTTTACTTCCTACAACACTGGACGAGGAAGTCATGTAATCGTTAACATTTTCGAAAATGAAATATGACGTTTTTGTTTGTTGTATGACGTAATGAAAAACCACGTCACTCATTTCCGTCGGTCTCTCTGTCTGTCCACTAATCGCTGCTCGGCCTATAACTTAGAAAGCACCTCTCGGATTTGGATGAAAATTTCGCACAAGGTCACTACTATTCCAATGACGGAAAAGCTTTGTGGTTTTGAAAATCGGTTAATTGGAGGCGCAGCTAGAGGTAAAAAACTAAATAAACAAAAATAGCTCATGAGTTTTCCGAGGCTCCTGATCATTTTCAGAAATTTTTTTGGAAAGGTTAAGAATTGGATATTGTATACGCTTCCAGCCCCGGTAATTCTACGCAACTATTAGACATATTTCACACAACATAGATTTCCCCGTACGAGGGCTGTTTGATAAGTCAGTAACTTTTTGAATTTCCCGCGCAGTAACTTTGAATGCAACATTGCTGCCGTCAACTGCCATCTTTTATATGACAACTGTCAAAATTTGAACAAGCTATGTCATTTCATTTGAGTTTGACAGCCGTTGAAAGTAGACAGTCTCATAAATTCTAACAAAAATGGAGAAAAGTGAATTTCGTGTTCTGATTAAACATTATTTTTGCGTAAAAAAAACATCACTGCAAATAAGGAAAGGCTCGACGAATACTATGGGGGCTCTGTACCATCTATTTCAATTGTGAAGAAGTGGTTTACAGAGTTCCGTTGTGGTCGAACCAGCACAAGTGATGCCGAACTTTCAGATCGCCTTAAAAGAGGTCATCACACCAGAAATCGTGGATAAGATCCATGGGATGATATTGGAAGATCGGAGAATAAAAATACGTGAAGTAGCTGAGGCTGTAAGCATCTCTACTAAGCGGGTACATCACATTTTACCTGAATACTTGGACATGAAAAAACTATCCGCGAGATGGGTGCCGCGATTGCTCACAGTCGACCATAAGCTCAACCGTGTGACCATTTCAAGGGAATGTTTGGCGATGTTCAGCCGCAATCCGAACGAATTTTTTTGCCGTTTTGTAACTGTAGACGAAACATGGATTCATCACAATACACCAGAAACCAAAGAACAATCAAGACAGTGGGTTTCACATGGTGAGCGTGCTCCAAAGAAGGCCAAGGTGGGTCTGTCAGCCAGCAAGGTTATGGCCACAGTTTTTTGGGACGCATGCGGTACCATTTACATCGATTACCTACCTTGAGAAGGGCAGAACGATCACGGGAGAGTACTATTCACAGCTGTTAGACAGATTCAACACTGCTTTGAAGCAAAAACGACCGCATTTGGCGAAAAAAAAATTGCTGTTCATAGAGACGACTCACGGGTACACACGTGTGTAGTCTCGATGGCAAAAATGCATGATCTGGGCTACGAACTGCTGCCCCATCCAGACTATTCTCCAGATTTTGGGAGCCTTGATAAAAACTACTATTCGGAAGGTTTTAAAAAATTGGAAAAACACTGGACTAAATGTACAGAGCTAAAAGGAGATTATGTGGAGAAATAAAATGCTTATTTGCCAAAAAACATTTTTTTTATTTAAAAAGTCACTGACTTATCAAGCAGCCCTCATACATTTACCCTTAAATACGTCTCTCTGCGTCGAAAGCTCTTGCTGAATTACCACGCTGCTTTGTGGTCGGTACTGTTGCTATGATGATAAGCTAGATCGCATTCTTGAGCTATGGACTTGTATGAACCTGTTTGTCTGACATAATACATTTGATTTCATTGTTATATTTATGATGATAGCCATTTTTTTTCTGAGAGAGACTAACTTGTACCGAATATAATCCTTTATGAATTGATGACTGCGTTGCGTGGTTAACCTACTTGATGTAATATTTTTAATACAATGTGAAAATAAAGAAAATATAATAGTTTTGATGATTTGTGATGTTTTCATTGTGAAGATCAGGTCACTCACGGTAATAGCAACACTTCTTTCCATTAAAATTGTTACTGAGACTATGCAGCGGCAAAATGGCCCATAGAATGAGAAAATATTACATTTTCTATTCTTGAAAGTAAAAAACGGATTTACCTCAAAATGATCATAATAATTTGTGGAATTATCCCCGCGCGAAATCATGTTGTATGCAGACATATGGACAAAATACCGTGTGGATCATTCTGCGTGACTGCTTTGATACGAATTTTTAATGTTTCCGCCGTATACTTCAAGTGCAAAAAAAAGGTACAGAGACTTTTATAACAATTAATTAAGCAAAAATATCATTACATGTACCCTTGAATCACTCCTAAGTTGTGCGCAAGAAGGTGGGAAATATGACGATCGCTACCTTCCAGTGGTTTGACATGATTACTTGCCCTCTCAATAACCATGACCAAATGCAGACAGCGCATTTTCGTGCTCATTAGCAGAGCTCATCAGGCCAGTATAGGTCTAGGCTTGGTGACACAGGGACGGGAACCAACAAAGACTGCATCGTTTGGATTGAGGACGAAAATCAGTTGGGCAAACCACTAGCAGATGCAATCATCAGAATTCTCATCTTCTTGCGCAAAAAGTTTTCAGTTTTAAAAAATTGTACCCACTTGTAAGCTCCCCGTTCGTCTGTATCCAAGACTAGACCTATTACGTACTGATGAATTGCTAGACGAAACAGCGTTTTCTGAGGTTAATCATTGTCATGGATGTGGAAAGCAAACATGCCCACTTCAGTAGTCGCAAGCTGTTGACTATACGGCAAATTTTTATAGAAGGAAAATGATACATTTTTTACATATGATCGACAATTTTAGAGATATATGATCAAAGGCGCTTACACAAATGATAGCCCTATCATGACGCCAACGTGAACTTATCATTAGAAAGCAATATTCTAACAATGTCAGCAAAAAATTAAGCTGTTGCGCTTATTGCAAGAAAAAAATGCCACTTTTCTGGAGTAACAAAACTTTTCCTGTTCAAATTGAACTATTCCTTCACCAATTATTGTGATGGGAGAACTTCTTCATTCTCTCTTTCTTCCAGGGCGAAGACCACCCTTTATCCCTCCACCACCAGTCTCCTTCACCCATCGACCAGAACCCCCTCCAAACCGTCTCGAGCACGACCTCGACCTCAACCGACCTCAACGAACACACGTGCTCCGAGTGCGGCAAAAAGTACAGTACTTCCTCAAACTTGGCAAGGCACCGGCAGACCCATCGAAGTCCCGCCGACAAGAAGGCTAGGAGATGTCCACATTGCGACAAGGTGTATGTCAGCATGCCTGCGTATTCGATGCATGTCAGGACTCACAACCAGGGGTGCAAATGTCATTTCTGTGGAAAGTGCTTCTCGAGGCCATGGTTGTTGCAGGGCCATATTAGGACTCATACCGGTAAGGGCTTAATACCATCATTAATTCCTATGTATGATCTATATCATTTATCTTTGTCAAAAACATAGATATGCCACATGTTATAATCAGTTTGTTTACATCTACGTTCTAAAATCTGAGTGAACTTAGCCTAAGAGAATGCAATAGTTTTAGTAACTACTAGCTTTCTTACCTGCGGCACGTGTAGGTTGCGCCACTGATAAACCAGTCAGATTTTTCAAGCATGCAAGTTGCCTGTCAATTTACTAATGCCAACCTTGGCAAGCCTTTAACTTCACCTGTTTGTTCAAATTTCTGACGAATGGTGTTGACACTGGGCACATTATTTCGACAGAAATCTTGTCGCAGCTTTAGAATCATTACAACAATCGACTCATTATTCAAGTAAAACGTTTTGACAATACGGACGCGTTGTGAGATCGTCTAGCGCTTCATGATGAATTGGTCACATGTGCTTCAAACAACTACTACGGCACCACCTACTGAGATGCGTGTATCAAAAATGGCGAGTAATTTAAATCCGTCAGCTATATATTGGCCTCCCTGTATATAAAACAACTGCGACCAAACTACTCAGCATTTTTTTCTTTTCAGGTGAAAAACCCTTCAAATGCACCATCTGCAGCAAGGCCTTCGCCGACAAGTCCAACCTCCGCGCCCACGTCCAAACCCACTCCAACACCAAGCCGCACGTATGTGGTCGCTGCGGCAAAGCTTTCGCTCTTAAATCCTACCTCTACAAACACGAGGAATCGTCTTGCATGCGGATGAACCCCAGAAGAGCCTCCCGGGAAGCCACGCCGGACAAGAACGTGGCTTCTCCTACGCCTGTCATTGTGTCTCTAGGATCAGCTCTAGGTGAATCAGTTATCAAAGGGCCTGAGTCTCTGATTAGGTCCCCTATGCTTTATAGATCAACTGTTATATCCCCCAATCCTGAGAGGATTCTGTATTCCACGATAAAACATCCTTCGGTTATTTTTAATGGGAGGTTTAGGGATGTTCAGGAACAGCCGGTGGATTTTTCTAATAGGCAAGGAGGAGGGAGAGGGTATCCTCATCTAGGGCTCGCCATTGCGGTTTGAGTGTTTTGGAGAAGGTTTTCAATTCAGGGACCATTTTGTAATACCTAGCTGTTTGTCTAAATGATTCAGTATTAGAATTGAGAGATGAGTATTTCTTTGAAAATTCCGTATTCAGGATGAGTGGAAAAATTGTCTCCATACAGGGTGTTCTTATATTGGGTGCTGATATTTCAAGTTCAAATAATAGGGAATTTTCCATATCGAAAATATAGCATTTTTAAAGTTTGAAAGGAAAAGTGTACCTTGGCATTGTTGACATGTTAACTAGAACCATTGGTCAACATATTTCACCAGAAGATAGCCGACGTAATGCTAAGTTCCCGTTTCCAAAAAATTATCCGACATAAAATGAGATACCATAGCAGCATCAATGATAGTTTGTTACAGCTGTTTATCTATTAACTATACAGGGCGTTTCACAACTTATCCGACAAATTTTAACCACATATGCACTGTTACGAAAGAAGTTGATTTCTCAAAAAAAAATGTAATAAAAGTCCTACAGAAATCGAGATGATGAAATAATACAGCTTAACAGTTCACTTACTTGTAAAAGTTGTTCAAAATTGTTTCCGTTGACTACAGTGCAAGCTTGGGCGCGTCTAATCTCCGCCAGCACGTGCACGTAAAACAATTGTCCTAAATGTTTCGTATATGGTATGTGTCAATTCGGAAATCGGTGTACATACAAACGAGAAGCCGCTCGCGAATTTTGCACTGCTTCTCCGTACGCTAAAACAATGTCCACTAACTCCTCATTAGTGTACGAATATTCCATTTTTATTAATAAAACTAAAATCATAAACTCGCAAAATACTTTCTTATTTAACTTCGACCGTTCTTCATTCAGATCACCCACGATACAGATTAAATGTTATTTACACGTTCTCATCAGTACGAAAAACAAAAAATTCCTAGTATTTTGCTTTCGTCACTTGTTTGGAGAAATCAACTTCTTTCGTAACAGTACATATGTGGTTAAATTTTGTCGGATAAGTTGTGAAACACCCTGTATATGCCAAATATACTTTGAAAGGTTAGTGACCCACAGGTAGCCCTGTAGCCACATATATGCTTGTATATGCTCATATAGACAGCGCCATCTGTGAGACACTAACCAATTCAAAGTTTATATAGTCAATAGATGAACAACCTTTACAAGTTCTCGTAGATGATGCTTCGGTATCTCATTTCATCTCATAATTATACGAACGCTATATTTAGCATTAGGTTGGATTTCTACAGGTAGAATACGTTAGTCAACATTAGAATTGTTTAAGGGGGTATTTAAAACATAGACGCATAAAATGGATACACCAATTTTTGTGGGAAACTTTTTATTCGACAACAAAGAATGAGAAAACGTGTTTTTTGGGATTCAATCGAAAGTGTTGGCATGAACGAAAAAACTCTTCAAATAAGATTTTTAGATATGTATGAGGTCTACAGAAGGAGACCACACGTAAAAAAATCCCACTTATATTCACGCAGCTACTTGAAATTCTTCAACTCCGAAGGCTTCGTAGTTCTAAATAATCTAAATAACCACAACAAAATTGTAGTCGATCGGTGAAGTAGTTTTTGAGAATATATACGTATTATCCTAAAACGCCTGTCTTCCGGACACCACTACTAGTTTACTGAGCAATATACAGAGATCGTTCAAAGGGCATTTTATAGCAAAATACACGCGTTTACCTTGCCGACATAAATCACAAGAAATTTCGGAAGACAGTTGTTATTTTTAAGTAAAAAAAGAAGGGTTACATTTTTTCTTCTAAACAAGTTCAAACATTTCGTATTTGTGAGTAATTGAACAGGTTCGCTACGACATTCGAAAAACGTACGTGATTATACACATGTTAAAATAAAGCGGATGTGACTATCACCTTTTGTTGCGAAGAAAAAAAAAATTTCAATATTTTTTTATACTCATGTGGGTACATATTTAGAGCTGAAATCTTTTTACCTGTAGTCTCATTCTGTACATCTCATAAATACCTAAAAATTTTATTTGAAGTTTTAGTACTCCCACCAAAACTGTTGTACACATTTTATGCGTCCATGTTTTGAGTGCACCCTTGAACAACGTGGTTCAATAAAACCAGAATTTACAATTATTTCGCGAACTGGGGTATTTTCGTTTAATATGATTAGACTACTAGTTAATTTTAGAACTGACCTAGAAAACCAATTTTGGAGTTTGATCTTAAAGAACTATTTGAAATTTGTTGGACCTAAACTTGCTCAATTGTGTAGTCTACTGACTTACGCAACAGAGGGTTGCTATACAATTCCGCTTAACTATCACGTCGCCGCACCTGTTTTAGAATTATAGTCCTTCAGGTAGGGGATGTCAATGTCTCTGTGGGAGGGTGACATACCATATGGTTGTACCGTTGGCGATTGTAGGCAAGGTTCTGTTCTGCAGAACAGGAAGACTTCTCATACGCGTTTTAGTCAGAAAACACCAACACAATATATTGATTTTTCGTCTAACTAAAAATTGTGGAAAACACCCCATTTTTAACCTTCTCAAGTTAGTAACCCTTGGGGAAAAATATTAGTTCTTGCTGACGTATCTTTTGCTATGATCACCCCATAACGACGTGGGTAATAATTGTTGATAATCTACCCTGGTGAATGATAACCCTTCATGGAGAAAAAAATGTCGATAGTACACCTAAGTCAAATATTTCACCACCTGGTATACCCTGAGACATAAGAATGTCGATGAAACATGTGTGCAAGATCGAAGCTGAGCAAACTTCTGTCAAGGTTTAAATGCAATTTTGGATTATCTTCCATTCCCAGTGGCAATAAAATAAAAAGTGTGATGCAAATTCTGAGAATAATGTGCCTTAAATAATATATGTAACGTCTGTGAATTCTCATGTGCCATACACGTAGCTTTAAGAGATTATTTTGGAGGACACCTATCAGTCTTAGCGCAACGCATTTTTTACTCGGATAGGTTTTTGAAATAAATAAAAGATGACGCAATACAAGTAGGGCATGCGGTGAAAACAGAATCGTTTTTTTTTTTTTTGAAGCAATTCAAAAATATTTTCACATGCCCTAAATTTTTTACTGATCTTACTATTGTAGACCTAAACGTTGAGGACTTTTTATTTTGATTCACTATTAACTGTCCTAACATACGTCAACCTTTGTGTTTTTGGATAGGGCTGATGCGATGAGAGTTTTGTATTTAGTAATTACTATTATTTTTTTGTAAAAATATGAAGCTGAACTGTTCTGATGGTGCTATAATATAAACGTAACTTGTCCTTGAGGCAGCTGTACTTAATAAGTTAAATTAAACCCAATTTGTACATATTATTGTTTGCATTTGCTTTTCATGGTATCTCAAAATGTGTATTTTATTTTATTTTTAGTTTGATATTATCAAACAAAAATCAATATTTACTCCAAACATCGTCAATGGTGCTAATATAAGTTACCGCAATAATTTATTTACCAGATTTTTTGGGAAGTTTTCACACATTACTGACGACGACTTGCAGGGTGGCATCAAAAGTTTCTACACTCAAACGCAAATTCAATTTTGGTTAGGTCTGAAATGTGTGAAAATGACATTTTAATCCGTACTATTAGCCGATAGAATAAGAACATTTTCTTATTTATTTTTCTTTTATTTGTTCGACTGTAATAATCTGTTATAAACCAAAATTTTATGACATTTTTTACTACATAGACGAGAGTGTAACTAGTCCTTTGAATGCTTATTAGGAGACCCTCAGGGTTTTCCGAAAGCGTATTTTTGGAGTTAAGGTGCAGGTCACGAAATATTAAAATATTAACCTAAATAAAAATCATTGGATAACACAGGACGACAAGATTGTTACCCAGAAGCCAGAATATACTTTCTGGAAGGTTTTTGATGCGCCCAATCCGTAATCCAAATGTCTCAATTGGCTCTAGTTTGCAAGACATCCCAAACCAAAAGTACAAAAATAACGATTTTGTCTTTATTTGAGGTTATGTTGTATGATGAATTATTTTTTGCTCAAAGTACGAGACTTGCCCTTCCAAATGCCGTTGAGTTTGCTTAAATTTCTTTTTCTTTTCGCTGAAATGTGGCACTTTGAAATTTCTATTTTTCTGAATTTCACTATACTTGACGTTATGCATCTAGTGATTACGTGTGCATCAAAGTTGTGGTTTGTATTGTAATACACCAAAACTGTAATAAAATTATGTATTTTTATGAAATAAGACCTGAAAACTGAAAAACACACAAATAATCAACACTAGATCCATAAAATCTAAAACATACCCAGACAACAAGCCCAGAACCCACACTACGGACGGTTTTTATTAAATAAAAGTTACTTTCTTCTGATAGAATCTAAAACGATCTAGATCAGAAAAATGAAAACTTCAGCGAAAAAAAATTATTTTGGCAAACTCAATGGCATTTGAAAGGACAAGGCTTATACTTGGAGAAGAGAGAGCGAGATGGTTTTTTGGAGAAAAGGTAATTCCCCACCCTACATTCTCATTATAAAAAAATCTATCCAGCTCAAAATGACATATTTTTTCAAAACCTGTACATTTATAATCGTTACAATTCTAGTATTTTTTGTTTAGGTTCAATATTTCAAAAAATCGGATTTTGCTTCGAACTCCGTTTTTAGTTTTTTAAGTTATTTATTTTAAACTAACGTTTTCTAACTTTAGACTCTAGTTTCAGATCTATATATCGGCTAATGATATAAAAAACCTAGTCACTAATCCTAAGGGCAAACGTATAACCTTCGAATGGTAATTTTTATGAGTTTTTTGTTTTCTTTTTTAGATTAAAGAGAGGCCGAAATGTGCAATATTTTAATGTTAGTCATCGCATGAAGACGGAAAAGCAGTGTGTTTAGATGTAGGAGAAGTTGTTTCATGTATATTTATGCGTGTTTTGGTGTTTAATTTATTATTACTTGTTATGTAGTCATTCCCTGGTAATACACGGTTTCATTCCTTGTGCCATATATTCTCATTTTGAAACTGTTCTTGTAAGTTTACGTACTTTTATACAATAAAGATTTCATAGAAAATTGTGTTTGTTTTCTCATTTAGTTTGTTTTTTCTTTCCTTTCCATATTCCTATAAAGTGTGTTACTACAACAGTCCGAATGCCATAAGAAAAAACCTGGACGTAAAAGTCACATGGTCCATTAGTTGAGTTAAAAATTATCAATTAACACTTCCATTCAAGGATACTGATCTAAATTGGGTCACAGTCCACAGGACAACTAGAAAGCCAATTGTGAAATATTGGGACTCCCTCTTGTTTTACCCTATGTCCTGTTTCCCATACATTGTCGCTTTTAGTGCCGATTTTGACGTTTCTCCCATAAACAATGCTCATCCAGCAGTCGTAGATCCCATAACTATTATCAAAAATTTTCTGATGTATTGCAACAACAGTTCTGAGTGGGTTTTCGCCTTGTCGGATGACTTTTGACGTTTTTGGACGATGGATGAGGGTGTCTGGTGTATTAAAAAAACGAAAGCCAACCTCATGTTCGCTTGTCGCCTTGTGGGGCTGACGGCTGACCATGCTTTTGGGAACAGGAATGCCTACCCCCAGGCGGTCCTTGTTGCTGGTTTTACTCGATACCATCTCAAAGTTGGAATGATGGAACAGGCCGCGAATTCATTGCGGCTAGAATGAGAAACGAGAAGGATAGCGCTAGTCAGGGAAAACATTGGCAAAACGTCGTGGTCCATTGTGGTATTTCCATATACAGGGTGTCCCAGAAGTCGACGTCAAGCCGAAACCGGGTGATAGGCAAAGTCATAACAGCTAACAGAAAAATATTTCAAAAAATTTTATGTATGTGTTTTGAAAATTATAGGTCTTTGAAAAAAATATAGAAATTTCACACCCTACGGCAGTCTGTCAACTCCTGTTACTACAAATATTAACTTTTTTTGGATTTTATTTTTACAATGTAATGATGAATAATGCATCTTCAAACTGGTGTCTCAACCTTACTCGTTAACTTACGCACAATTTTTATTTGAAGAAAAACTGATGAACATTTTTCAAAATTTCCTAATTAAACAGCGATTATGAAAACGCACAAGGACCCTTAAGGATAACTGTTTGTACAACAGTGGGCGTCAAAATGTTGCTGATGATGATTTACCTTTACAGCAAATGCTCAAACTGTTTTCCTTCAGCCGCAATACATGCTAGACATCTTCTTAAAAAAGATCGGGTTATTAAACGAGCGAATCGACGGTTATTAACAAACTCAGCTGCTTCCAATAGTCTTTGCCGTAGCTCAGCTACATTTTGAATCGGCTTGAAATACACTTTCTCTTTTACAGTTCCTCAGTAAAAAAAATCTAACGGATTCAAATCTGGTGACCGGGCTGGCCACGGTATTGTACCAGACCGCCCTATCCATCTGCCTGGAAAGTTTTGATCGAGATACTCTCTCACTGAGAGTGCATAGTGCGCTGGGCAGCCATCATGCTGAAACCACATGTCCCTGTAAATACTCAGTGACACGTCCTCCAATAAATTTTCTAAATGATTTTGCAAAAAACCTAAATAAACCTCAGCACTCAAAGTCTCTGGGAGCTCAAACGGACCGATTATTTTACCATTTAAAATTCCTGTCCAATGGTTTATCTTGAAGCGATATTGAGATTTATCTTCTCTCATCAAATGTGGGTTTAGCTACGTGCCACTCGTGTAAGTTATGCAGGTCCATGTACCCATCTTTCTTAAATGTGGTCTCATCTGACCATAAAATTTTTTCAAAGAACCGTGGATCTTCCCTGTGTCTTTCTAACATTGTGCGACAAAAAGCAACTCGGGGCTCATAATCCCGGGGCAGAAGAGCTTGAACACGCTGTACGTGGTATGGATGGAGCACGTTTTTTGCAAGATTCTATGGGCTGTACTTTTGGGCACACCTGTTTTTAGTTCTATTGCACGCACTGAAGTACTCGGGTCTTCTTCGATAGCTCCTAGCACCACGTCTTCGTAAGGAAGGAAAGATCTTCCCTCACCGTGTGATTGGTTTGGTAGTTGGCCCTCTGAGAACAGTAAGCGGTGCACATTTGTGAACTCTCGATGATCTGGATGACGAGCT